TTTTTAGTTTTCTGAAAAACTGGGTCTTCAGAAAACATTGGAAAAAATGCTTTATGCCACTAGAATCAGCTCGTCGAGCTCTATCGATTGGGGTACCTCTCGTTAGCATCTGTGATTAACACTTAGGATAGTTCCCTCGTTAGACTATATGCTTGCGCAATAACCTTAACTATGATCATCTCCCTTATGGCACGACTGTAGTGCATGGCATAACAGTACTTCCCTCATGAGGGCTATGTTAAAGCTTTTATGAAACCTGTAAAAACTTTCATAAAATTTTTCATTTTTATGCAATTTGTGGGTTGAAAAAATTAAACATCCAAGTTTCCTAAATTTTATGAAACTTTTTACAAGTACATTTATGAAACTGGATTTATGAAGACAGGGTATCCCTTTTCGAGACATTGCCGATAAGCGATTAACTTCGAATACAAATTCGATGCAGAACTCGTGCGACATGAGAATAACAGCTCATCGATTGTACAGAATAGCATACAAATATATCGACATCAGAAACAAACAAAGGATTCTTTCCTCTTGGAAGTCAAAAGCAGTTAGAAAGTCCAAACATCATGTCTGGATCAACTATTCATGAGAGATGTTCCAACGTTCTATCGAAAAAACTATGATTAGTAGTTTTACTCATTCCAAGAAATTTCTCCTTTGCTTTATGTTTATAAATTAAATGTGGAAAGTTTTTTAGCTTTTCAATTTAATCTATAGAATAATGCAGTGCTTAAACTACCTGAAGATTTGTCCCTTGAGAAAGCACGAAACTACAGTCGTAGTGTTTTTCAACATAATACTCGTCATTATACTGATACTTGCCATTTGATACTCTTTGTCTAGTAAAAGTGGAATACTAATATAATAATACTAGCTGAAATCAATTCAGTGACGACTCACGATAACACTGAAAAGACTTTTTTCGCGGCATTTCTGGATCAATTTTGTCAAATCACAACCTTACTCTACAGAGTCGCCAACGCTCTGGTGACTACTTCTACTCTATTTCAAACATGGCATTACTACTCTAGTGCGCACAAGCGCCCGGCAACAAATATGCTTGTTCGAATCGAGAATAATCTTCGAAAATTGCCAGTTGGTTATTGAGTTATACCTTAGCACACATATGGCTAATGAATGAAGTAAGTGCTTTGCTATATCATCGCTTGAAATGTTTCAGCGAAAGGAAAATAAAATTAATCATAATTTTTTTCGAGACGTGACTACTAGTTCAATTTATATATTGACATTTTGAACGTGTTGAACGAGCATCGTGTTGAACTGGCATCCTATTTGATCACAATGACAAATTCCGACGAAAGATTTTTCCTAAATGCAGGTACGACAAATATACTAAAACCGACTAATTGCATATCTTTTCTGTTTTTCTTGCCGAGACAACACAGAACGATAGTGAACAAGCACTTTTTGGAGTTTTTTCTCATCAGTCCAAATATTGCCGACCTTCTGCTGCCCATCTAAGCATCAAAATGGAATGTTAGCAAGTTTGTCTTAGTTTTATATCTGTTTTGGCGTCCATTTGTCATGTAGGAATGACTATTTCCACGGGAAGTGTATCATGGTAACATTAAATTTTTCTTTTGATTCTATTGTTGATTAATTCATCCATTGGTCGAACCAAATTCAACTCCCCTTATGCTTTTCTGTCGTTACATAAAAATGAAAAGTTTTATGAAACTTTTTACAAGTTTCATAAATGTGTGATTTATGAAACTGGATTTATGAAGACAGGATATCCCTAAAATGTGCTTCCTATAAAATATTAGCAGATAGCATCGATCTGCCTTTATATTGATGCGAATATGGTTTTCAAAACAAAGAAAATTAATGCAAAGAGAAATAATGTGTGTTGAGAGGCCATGGAATTATTGGGTTCGCCACAAGAAGCATCGGTACTGTTTCGAATCGCTTTTTTGTTGCATGGTTCAACTTTGAGATCTTCATATTTCGGGATGGCGGGTAAAACTTCAGAGTCCATATAGTTTCCTCGATCGTAAACAATAAGACGTGCAGCTTTATTGTAGAATTCTTGCCATTGAGACACTGACTCAGGTGTCCATGTCAAGTTACGAAGCCATTGCTCTATGTTAACGTTGTCTATTGGTCTATTAAAATGAAAAAAAAGCAGTGAAATTTAAAAGTATATAAAGCAACACTAACGAGGATGTATTCATAATAGTTCGCCATGCTGTCTCGTCAATTGATGTCATACATGCCGATAAACTGTCGACGAAAGGATAATAGGAGAATGTATGAGAACACATTTCGTCCGTTGTTCGCGGTCCGCCCTAGATGAACGAAATATGATGTAAAATCTGTACAATTCTATTTCATTATTCTACCATTGTGATTTCATTCTTATTTCTTGTATTATATACACAACGAGTAGCAAATGCATCCCCCTAAATATTCATAAAATTTGACGAATTTTTGCTGTTTTGTTTCTTACTGGATAGATTTTGATCGATTCTGGTAGCCGATTTGCGAATTGATAATTGAAATTGAAAGCGTCCGCATTGAATAAATATTGAACAGCTGTACTGTTGCGAATCAATTTGGTCCACACGCTATAACCTATTTTAGAAACCAATGGATTCTAGTCTTTTCATTATTGTACAGATTATGTACCTTGCAAGTGAGTATGTGGCAAGGCGGACACGATATTGATACCTGAACTGGGAAAATTCTATTTGATAAAGAAGAGCATGACAATGTTCTTAAATCTTGTGTGAGTGAAGCAATGTGTATACCCGAGTGGCTTCAGGAGGACAATAGGAGTCGACAATAAATTGTTCAGTTTTTGGTGGAATGGCGAGACTTGCTGGTCTGGACAGCGTTCCAAATAGCACGTAACCAAGATCATACCTTCGAAGTTCATTGGCAAGGTAAAATCGAATGCCTGAACTGTCTCGGAGATCTAGAAACAAATCAAACAAACGATATTATTCTAAACCGTGCAAGATACACGCAAGATCATCCTACTCGAAGCTTGTCGTGGATTGTCATAGTGTATTTTGATCATGAAATATTTACTGTCGATATCACTAGTGACAGCATAGCCGGCTTCTTCCGGATACATGGTTGTCTATTTGAAGTTAAAGCCATTCTACTAGTCATTTGTTATCATCGGTTTTCTCTTACCACGTCAGCACCGACCGCCCAGGCGGTAGCTAACTTTGACGAACACATTCTCGTTCCAGTTAAAACTTCATCACATATGCCATCCAGTAATTCAGCATCATTAACTACATCCTTCGAAGTACATTCGAACAGATCTAGATGATGCAGAAGACGCTCATTTCTGGAATCAATTAATATTTTATGCTATAAAGAATGAGAAAAGACAAAAATATATAATATAATCATGAAATAAATAGAATATACGGCTATCGCATGTCTTTTGGCAAGAAATCTACTTGGGCTTTTGAATACTTTGCAATAGTATGTAGTGTCAGACGATGGAACGACATACTAAAGAAAGAGATCATGAATTAGAAAAAAAAGAAGAAAATTACATATAATACAGTTACACACATTGTCGAACCGCAAATCAAAGAAATCAAGTCCAACCAACATCTCATCTCCCGGTTGATCGGCGTACGATCGAAGTGGTAATATACGTGTACCTCTTCGGTTATCATGATACGTGATATCGACGTTAGATGGACACGAATCAAGATCGGCAAGACCATAGGCAAATATCAGAATATTCGTGCCAGACTATTTGATAAAATACAATATTTCCATTAGTCAAACCATGCAATCAATTTTCATACTTTTATTGGAACATCCATTGGATCACAAGTATCAAAGTAACGTTTGAATTGAATGGCTGTCCATCCATCTTGTTCTTGACCTTGAAGAACAAACCAGTCTTGAGTTGTGTTATCTATGACTGGTTTTATTTCATCGAATGCAAATCGATCCTAAGAGAAGATTCAATCGATCAATGTGTAAATGCCCGTATCAACAAAAAATATCTGTCATACTTGAATATGAGCTTTGCCAGAATAGTCGACCCATCCAACTGCGATATCAGCGCCTTTCATGCCTCCAGCTAAAAATCATTTGAAAATATCGAAATCAGCAAAACCAATCACCTGTTTGATATCCTACCTGGACTAATGCCTAAAGCTATCCATCCGATAGTCTTCACATGCAATTCAAAGGTAATCTCTTGTTCGATATCATTCACTGTCCACCAAAGCTGAGCCACATTTGCCTGAAGTTCTACCGTATGTTTATAGATAGTAAATGGTCGAAGGGGGCTCGAAATTCCAGTACATATCTCAATCACAATCAGAGATATGTACAACCACAAAGTAATCCAAACTTGCATGAACTGCTCTTAGAATTAAAACACAAACTAATCTCAATCGAGACACTATCTAATAATTCTATCGAAACTTTATAAAATCACTTATTCTGTTGGTAAGAATTTTAATGTACTATTTTCTCTTCTTCTAACATTTTATTGCCGTTTGATAAGCCATGCGTAAACATATTAAAGATCAAGTGATGGTAATATTTGCTTTGAGATAATGTGTAAGGAGTACATTGTAGTTAATCTTGATATTGCTATACTCATTCTTCACAAACATTGTGCATCATGATAAAGCAACTGTGAGCACTTGTTTGTGACGTGTCCTACACCGAAAATTTTAAACAAAATTTACTAACATTTTATTGGATTTTCGTCTTTTCGTTAAAATTTAATACATTTCATTCAAGAACTAGCGCAAAACGAAAACTCTTTAGAAATATGTGCTGTTGAATCATGGTTAACTATGAATGAAGACGATAATACAATTGAGGTTTCTAGATATAACTTTTTCGGAAAGATCGAACTGATCAACGTGGAGGTGGTTTGATTATGTATGTGAGACAATATATAATGTCCACACGGCTGACATCAGTTGAAAACGATCAGTTTGAAATCATGTTTTTTAAACTTACTTTACAAGGTTTTCTAAAAACCCTGTTTGTCTTAGCTTACCACCCTGATTCCAATGTGAAAATTCTTGGAAGTTTTATTGACTTTATCAAAGAAAATATCGCTGAGTGTACGTCAAAAACTCTTTATGATGCAGTCATAGTAACTGCCGATTTCAATGCGTATTGTTCGAAATGGTACGGTAGTAAACCGATCACTCTTGAAAGTGAAAAAATTTATAATTGTTTTCAGTCATTAAATCTTAGTTAGTCCGTGAACCAACTAGGCTCATATCGAACTTGTGCCTAGATTTAATGGCTGCTACTAATCTGAGGATGGTTAGGTCTTGTCCCCTACTTTCTTCATTGTGTTAGTCTTGTGATCACCAAATTTTAAGTCTTGTCCTCACACCATTCACAGCAGTTAATTCGTCTTTCAGTCGTAAGATTTATAACTATAAGTCAGTCAACTGGAACTATTTTAGATATAAGGCTGGTTCGTACTTACCAAACTTTACTACTCTTACTACTACATCTGTTAATGACATGGTAGAGTATATTAATGTGGCAATACCAAAGGCAGCAGATGCCGCAGTGCCAAGTAAAATTATCAAAATAAATAACCGTGACCAGCCATGGTTCACTGAAGAGCTAAGACGTTTGAGAAAAAATAAAGACCGTTGCTTCGCTTTACGCAAGAAAAATATTTTATCTGATTATTACAAAAGTAAATATCTGCTGAGTGCAAAAAACTACTACTATCGGAATTTTTAAAGAAAGCGCGTGGAAGAAAAGCTTATAACAACTCAAACGGGAATTGGATATATGGTAATACAAATGGCATTTGAACTTCATTGTTATTTATATTTACAATGTCAAATTTCGAACTGACCGATGGTAGTTTATCCACAGGAATAGGTTTTCTCGCGTCTTTTAAGTCCATAGTACAAATATTTGCAAAATGCTCGTTCAAGCTGTTAGTCTTTTCAGTATTACCTATTATTATTAGAAGACCTTGTAAAGTAAGTTTAAAAAAACATGATTTCAAACTGATCGTTTTCAACTGATGTCAGCCGTGTGGACATTATATATTGTCTCACATACATAATCAAACCACCTC